GAAACAGCAAAATAATGTCGGATGAAAATTTACCTCGCAGGAGTACAAGGAAAAATGCAGGTGTATCCCCTGTGAGATACGGAAAAGGCTTTCCTAACGAAGCAGCAGGAATGGGTCCACAACCTAATTCAAAAGATCCGAAGAACAGTTCAAGGATATTGGATGAAAAAAGTTCTGTCAAAACGGTAAACTCACATACATCAAAGAAAATTGAAGAGATTAAGTCTAAGAAAAGAAGTATTGAGTTAAGAATGTTAGAGTTACAAATGAAAACTCTTTGTGAAGAAGAAAAATCAATACATGAATCTTTAAGTGCAAGATCAAGAAATGCGTCTATTAAGGCAGGTTCAGACGCAGCCAGTAATTTAGTCAAGTGGTCGAGTAATTTAAACGGCGTAAGGTTATTAACTATAAAGCTTTAAAGGTAACCAAAGACCTTTTTAATGAATCCGATTGCCAGCCTTCCACATCAAGGCAACCACAACCAACGCTTTCAAAGCTTGTAGAGTCCTAGTATTGTTCGATATGTGAAACCGACCAACAGATTGACATGAGGTTGTGCTCCACGTGTCTGACATACTATCATGAAGAGTGTTGTGGCCTAACAGCAGATGATGATCATTTTGAGTGCCCAAACTAAAGAGTTGTTTTTGCTTGTTTTTCTTTTTGTACAATTTAGTAACTAGGATAATATGAGCACCCACATACATATTAGTTTTTATTTTATTTTCCTTTAGTTTTAAATACTAACTAAGTAAGAGTTGTGATTTTATTCTAGTTTGTTTTGGATGGTATTTTCACTTAGTTTTAAGATGTTTTTATTATGGGCCATATTAACCACCATAGGTGCTTAGGTGGGCCATATATATACCCCCACTACCTTATTCTTTTTTTTTCTTACAAAATAGTTAAAATATCCTTTGTCTTTATACAAATAATAAATAACCACAAACATATTGGAAAATAAAATTGAACTAACTCTTCGCTTGGACGTTGCCTAAGTCGATCGTAGTCAATAATACCTGCCCATTCTGTGATTGAGCTTATTAATATTGAGAAATCATTTATTTTATTTTGGAGAGTGGGATAGTATAAAGCATTGTATCATTGCAGGGGGAATTTGTTAGTTTTTGTATATGGAAAGTGTGTCCAACTGGCCATCATACATCATTTAGTGGAATTTTGCTAAAATTATGTTTAGCTCTATTGGGTGGAAAAGAAAAAATGTTGCCATACAAAAGATAAAAAATATATAACGGAATGCAGTTTTGATTTGTGTCTTATTAGTGCCTATGTGACATTCATCACGTTTTGCAGAAAATATATTTAGCTTAAGCGAGATGAGATTGTTATTTGTAGGATAGAAAATGCGTGGGCTTTCAATAAAAATGGGTTAAACAGAGGCAGTTTGGAAAATGTTGTTTAAATTCGAGAATGTGTTATAAATATCGCCCACTAGAAACTTCTTAGATAAGTAATTATTTCAAAAGATTGCTAGGAAAAAATTGTGTATTAGTCAAGCATGACTAGTAATAATAATAATCTAGGAAAAAATAACCCTCGTACAAAAGATATGCAGTTTTGTAGAAATATATTTCCAGAAAAATTGTCGACAAAAATGCAATAATAAAAATATCTACTGCAACTAATAATATAAAATTTAATTTTTAAATTTGTTTTATGTTTAAAGGATAAGTACATCTTTACTTTTTCATTACAATAGTCTTTGCAGACTTAAATCAGTAACACCGCTTTATTTCCTTGGATTTTCCAAAGTTGTCGCATCAACTTTTATCATTTATTTGTATTATTTCAGTTTCCATCTTATAGCGGGATTTTCTGTATTCTTTATATAAGGCTTTGGGTATTCGTCACACAAAGCTCGGCTATCTTTTGACAGACAAAAGTCTGTTTCGATTCATGACGAGATTATAATTTTTTTCCGCGGCCATTCTATACAAAGGAGATTAAGTGATAAAGCTATAAAGCGCGACAATGGAATAACTGGGTTATTTTGTAGTACGAGGAGTAACCAAATAGAATCTTGAAAACATACTTTAGTTAGATACTGAACCTCTTATAACACAGTAACATTTTTAAATAAAATATAGGGAAATATCGTCAACATCCCCTAGCAAACGCAAAGCATAAGTAATCTAGTAACCATATTACAAAACTTCCAGGGACATTGAATTAAAAGCATTGTGTCGACTAAAAATAAAATTTTACTGAAAAATGGACGCTTTTATTAAACAATAAAAGGGTATGCTTTGTCTATGACATACATTCACAAAGAACATATTTGTGTGCTAAAAATAATCTTTGTTTGGTTTAGGAAAAAAATATCCAACTAAGCTGTACGCTCCACCCTTGTAAACCTTGTGGAGGTACAGGATTATTATATATTTTTAATAAATAATTAAACCTTACTGACAATATATTTAATTCCTTGACAGGCTTGACTTTTTTACTACCTTAAATACTACAAACTATATACAATTATATGGGGTTAAATATGATTTATTGTTACACTCTCCAACCTTCAACTAAAGTATAACATTCACTGGTTGAACTAAGGTAGAATCAGAGGTTCTTATTTCTACACTTCTTATTTGCCCATCTCTGCACTTAAATGTTTTCGTCAATTTTTAGAGATATGGCTTTGTGGAACCATTTTTGACGTTTTTGCAATAAAGGGAGACCTTGCTTCGTCCATTTTTTCCAAAATTGTTCTGACATAACTTGAGCAATTTTCCATTGTTTTCTTCCAAATAGATCTTCCTATCAAAAAGTGCATCGGAGTTAACGCTTCTACATCATTTTCATTGCAGGGGACAGCTAATTGGTCTACAGTTTACAATTTTTTCTCAATTAAAAACGTTGTTAAAATTTCTTCAGTTGTGTTTTGTTCTCTCAAAAGTTTATAAAATACTTCTTTCACCGACCTTACCATTCTTTCCCAAACTCCTTCAGTATGTGCAGCTTTAGGAGTGTTCAAAATCCACTTCATGATGTTTTTTGCACTTGCCTCTGCGGTTAGTTTGTTGTGTTCCAAATTTTTTATATATTTCTTCATTTAATTTTCTGCTCCTACAAAATTTGTTCCATTATCCGAATGCATCCCTATAAATTGTTCTCTTCGTGCAATAAATCGTCTAATTGCTATTAGTGTAGAGTCGGTATTTAGGGAGTTACTTCAATGTGAATTGCTCTTGTATTTAAACAATTAAATAATGCTCCATATCTCTTTTCTTTACTTCTTTTAACCTTAACCAATAATGGTCCAAAATAATCCAACCTACAGTAAGTAAATGGTCCACAGAAAATTTTTAATCTATATTCAGGCAATGGGGACATTTTTGGCTGAAGGAATTTTGCTTTATAAATTTTACAGTGTTGACAATTATGAATAACAAATTTTACGGATTGTCTCATTTTTATTATCCAAATTTTTTTGTTTTAAGTGATTAAGAACTGTTTTATGACTCTACTTTCTCATGATAGTACTGTACTAAAAGTCTTACTGCTTGATTCTGCTTCGTTGATGGTAAAATAATTGGAAATTTTAAATCATATTCTAAGCGAAATTAATTATAATGTCGTCCATTCTTAGCACACCATTTTCATGTATAAATGGAGATAGCTGTCTTATTTTTGAACTTGTGCCTAATGACTGTCCTTTTTTTAACTTTCTAATATCTCTTGTAAAATGTGTTTCTTGTATATTTCCCTTATTATCCATGCCGTGCATCTTTATAACCTCAACTATTTTGAAAATCTTTTGACGTTTGGAAGAGAATTTAATTTTTATATACTTTCCTTGTCCTCTTCAATGATCAGCAGATTTTCTCTATTTTGTTCAGCTTGTGGGCAGAACTCTTCACATTGTTTCAAAAATCCTGGACCTTGAAACCAAAAGGAGTTAGTGTTAAGACTAGGTTCATATTAGGCTTAGTAGTGAGATTAACAGAATTCAGATGAGAAGGAATCCATTTTCAATTGTTCACATTTGTTGTTTCTACGATTTCTTAAACACGGTGACCTTCAAATATCTTTAAACTGCTGGATGAGATCTAGTCATTCAGCTTAGAACAATTTGTGAATTGTATAATTAGTCTCCTTTTGTACGACTGCCAGTGAGCTCGACTAAAACAAAATGTGTTCAAATGGGCCAAGTCACTAACTCTGTGTCCCAATGAGATTCAAAAGATTTGTAAACTGATTTATCTAGGGGCTGCAGTTCTTGAGTTGTGGTAAGGTACCATTTGGTAACGCGCGACAAATGTCAGGAGACCGAGACACCAGTGAAACGGCAAATATTGCCATACTAAATCTGATGTCGTCTGTCGCCTCTACCGAAATGGGTTTCTTAATAATTACATGGGTTCAGACGTGAAGCGATCGTTTAGTGTCGTACCAATACCACTTTAACATGTCCTAAAGAGAACGACTTGCAACATCAAATAAGGTGTTTTTTAACCCCATGGAGAAAATAATCGCAATCAAATATCTCGGTTCCTAGACATAAAAATATATTTATTTTTTAGCATAGGGTAGGTACAAATACCACTTTCAAAATCTGTCAAAGTGAACATGGTCGATACACTTTTTTCATTTTTCTTCAAAAAGAATTTTCATGTCTCCAAATTTAAATGTTGAGTTCTTATCTGCTGCGTATTGTTTAAAGTCGGCCCATATTAATTTAATAGATTTAAATAACATTACTTGTATTTATTTAAAATTGATGTTATAAATAATTTCTCAAACTGCATTCAAATAAAGTTAAATTATTTAAAACTATAACATCAATTCTTCAAAATCATCGATGTTTCTTTCCTTATTAAAATAACTTTATTCTAAAATGATTAAATCTAAAGCAATACATTAATTTAAATCAAGTCATACCACTGTCTCCATCTATCGCAGAATAGATAAAATATTAGTCTTTAAAGGGGTAAAATCTTTTTGTGCTAGACGAAAAGAAACCAGCAGTAATTCCACAAATGTCAACAAATCGGATTAAATTATACTACGTAATTGTTGTTTATTATGTCTCAAAACTTTAAAGAAAAATGTTTTTTTTTCAAAATATTATACCTATTTTTTTTGGATATTTTTAAAGTAAGTATTGCTAGTCTCACATTACCAGACATTCTTTTTCTTTCTGTGGTACATTACATAATTTTCCATTTGTAGATTCTACCATGGAAGGTCAGATTTGTTTTGTACACAAATTCCGAAATATATCCTAGTGCTTTATATGAATTTTCAAGGCAAATTGGAAGCAATACCTTTTTGCAAGGTTCACAAAGAAAAGTTCAATGCTACCAGGTAAGTCCACTTAATATTGTTTAATTGGTTAAAACGGGATATATTTGATTATTATTTACCTTTTCTGAAGTTCTCGTTCATCCATTTACAAAAATCTAGGTAGGTACCATGGAAATTGTTTGATACTTTGACTTTTTTTTAATTTTTTAGCTTTATTTTTCCGAACCAATTTAAAAAAAACCTTTTTTCTTCCAATTTCAAGATGTCTACTTCCCTTATTTATTTTTCATAGCAACCGTCGTTAATCAACAAAAAAAAAATTATATATCAGATTACCTTTTCTAGCTGTCACAAAAGATGATGATTTGATGTTTACAATTTTCTTACATTTTATCTAACACAGGGTGTGTTAAAAAATTTTAAGAACAAAATAAACCTTTAAAAACATATTTTTCTTTACATTTGATATTTATATCATATAGGGTGCGATAAAAATGTTTTTTTTTTATATTTTACAACTAAATTCTATCACAATATTTCTAACAACTAATGAAGCTTGGTTAGAAAGAATATTTGAACTTTCAGCAAATAATTTATGGTTCACCTCAGTGGCGGCTGGTGCATAAGTGCTGTAGAGTAGCAGTACTTATGGATAATCTCATTAATTTTAATTATATAGCAAGGGCAGTGTTGGATGCTATCTAATTCGTAAGTTTGGAGAGCCCTTCTTATTTTTGGAAAGTATTAAAACTGTTAAATCTTAGTGTCATTAGTTTAATACACACTTAACAACTTTACTAACAAAAGAAAATTACATTTGACAAAGAAAATATGGTAAATAAATGAATATAAAAGGCAAAAACACAAGATATAGTACCGATTGCTTTTCCGACAAGAATTGAGTCCTAGAAAACGCGGTAAAATGCATACTGTCATCTGTCTCTTTCGATCACAATATCGATTTGGAATTATGTCCAAGGGTAGGCAACTTTATATACACATGTGTTTATTGGGTTAATGTAATAGTAGGGTGTTACAATTATTAAATAGTATCCATAGTGGGCGAACGTTTCTTACATTATTTCATAACTGAAAATAAGTCTAGAGCGGACCAGTGAAAGTTCGCGAGGTCATATTTATCTCTTAGGTATGTCGCTTCGCGACGATCTATCCAATATACAATGCCACGGATTAGGTAGCCTACGTTCATCGTCTCACCTCTCGCGGTTCTCTAAATACGCAGAGACACGTAGTGTTTAGGCTGCATTTTTGCCAAATCGGCGAGCCTTGTTTATATTGTATCGAATATGTGATTCGATTTTGGTTTTGTAGATTATTAATTTTTGTTAATTCGTCAGCGCCCGTTTCCATTGTATATGAAGTCATAGATGTATTGACACAGATCAAGATTTATTCATAATTATTAATCTGTACCTAAAATGATTGTTTCTTGTTTGGAAAAATTTGGCATTAGAAAGTTTTTTATTTTTTAATTTATTTTTTCTTTTTTTATTTTACTTATACAAAATTTCTTGAAATACAGGTACCTAGCTAATATAGTATATCTAATTTATTTTGATTTGTTTTGAAATTCTATATATTTAACTCATTAAAGCTAAAAAGTGGTACTTTTATTAAAGGTATTTATACAGGTTTTATTTATTTTCAACACTTTAAAATTTTAACACATTCGACTATGAAGTTACCTACGTGAAGATTATCTTTTTCTATATCGTTGATGTAAATTTTTGTTATTTACTCAAACACTAGCCCGTTGGGATATGAAAGTAAAAAAATAATAGATATATAAACTATCCAATCGGGATTATTTTTTTAGAAGCAAGTGATCTAATTTATAGGTGTTTCTATTTTTTCTCTATTATAATATCTATATACCACAGTAACGAAAATGAATAGTGACTAATGCATTAACTCTCCGTCGATACCGAATCTTAACTACCACAACATAAAAGGCTACTATTGTTACTATCGTTGTTGTATCTCCTTAGAGTAACTCTATTCATTTTCGATACTGTAATATAATAGTATATTATTCAATAAGTGTATAATGTTGACCATATTACACGAAAATTGTTTAGAACACGAGCGAGCGTAGCGAGCGAGTGTTGTAAATATTCGAGTGTAGTATGGTCCATTATACACGAATTGAATACTATACTTTATCTACAACTGAATACGGGGGCTCACCGAAAACGAAAAGGGGATTTTTAGAAAAAATTCTTTGAAGTTGTTATAAATAGAATTGACAAGATTGTTCACAATTAAAAGACCTTTCAAATGAGGAGTATTTAAGCCACCGTGTGAAATAAAACGCCAATTTATACAGGAACTCGTTTAAAGTTATTTATTGATGTAATTAATAGTAACATTACAATTTGAAATATTAATAGCTCCGGTAATATCATTGAGATTATTGTTTTTTAAAGAAAAATTACAGCCGTACGCATAGTCGATCGCCAGCGACTCGCCAGAGATTCATTTCGGCGTATCGCCAGCGATTCGCTGGCGATCCGCCGGCAAAAGCCCAAGAAGGTAACGACTCGCCGGAGATTGTCACCGGAATGTCATTTCACGCAAGTTTTTATTTTCTTTTATAGAGATTCATTTCTTAAAACTCAAAAAATAATGAACGAATATCAAATTTTTCCCTATAAAAGAACTTGAAAACTTGCGTGAAATGACATTCTGGTGACAATCTCCGGCGAGTCGCCAGCTTTTTGGGCTTTCGCCGGCGGATCGCCAGCGAATCGCTGGCGATACGCCGAAATGAATCACTGGCGAGTTGCTGGCGATCGACTATGCATACGGCTGTTAGTGTTGCTATTGATGAGTACAGAATCATGACGATCACTGTCAGAAGATGATGGATTATTAAGACCAACACAATTTTCATTATTGATTTGACTTAAAATTGCTTGAGCTGTTTCTATTTTGTTCTTTTTTGAATTGGCGATGTACCCTTCTGCTGTGGAGGCGGATTTCCAGCCTCCATGACGTTTTAATGTTGTAATTGAAGCTCCAGAATCGGCAACCAATGTTGCAGATGAACGCCTGAGGCAATGGCCAGTATATCTGTCAGGGTTTGGTAATTGGAAAAACGTAGCAATTTGCTTTCCCATTACGCTAAACTTGTTTATTCCTATCACTTGTTTTGTACACTTTCCTTTTTGGAAATTGAGAAAAAAATCTTGTGGTGCATTTTCGGGCCGAAGGTCTATATATTTTTTAACGATTTTGAAAAAATTATCCACAATTGTGAAATTCCTTGGGACTTTGGTTTTTGTGTGTGGCACGTTTACTTGAAAACATCCCTCAAAACATCTTAAATCCCCAATTTTCATATTCTTTAATTCACAGGATCGGCAAGCACCCATGACCCCCATAATCAAGGCAACCTTAAAAAAATGTGTAGATTAAGTTAAAGAATTTTGATTTTCGATTAGAGTTTTTACCTTTGTTCCAAGATATTTAAAATCTGGGGCTTCCTTTATAAACCTCTCAATTTGTTCACCAGTCAGAGCTTCAGTTTTCTTAGGTTCGTAATTTTCGGATCGTCTTTTCAACAAAGCACGTAGTCTCGGATATTTATCAATGTTGACATTGTGCTTGATGTTTAACATGCTTTTAAGCATGGAATAGTTTGTCCATAAAGTAGACGATTTGTATTTACTAGAAATTTCCATAAAATATACAAGCACAGTGCCTTCGGAAAAAGAGGATACATTTTTTGTTTATTTCCACGACATAAATTTGTTGTATGCAATCTCATAATTTTTCCTCGATATTTTAGGTAATAATTCCAACGACGCCACTTTAGCAGCGTCGCGGATTTCAGGAGGTGTTAGTTCCATGTAATCATCGTCTTCCATTTTTTTAATTTTTAAACACTTAAAACGGGCTTAATATTTTAAGTTTAATTTCAAAAAAGAATCGGGAACAACGAATAACTGTCAACATGCTGTCTACTAACTTGTCAAATGCATACTAGATCTAATGATTTTTAATTCTAGTGGGGTATAATTGACAAAAATCGTGTAATATGAATAGATTCTCACTAGTGATATATGGATTGCTTTATGTTGCCTTAGATACGCATATAATACATCCATATAATGACAGTTGTAGATAAACTACTTTAAAGTTAAAATATTCAAAACTTAGAAAAAGAGTACATCGTATTTATTATTAAAATTTAACTTACTTTTAAAACCCTCGTATCTAAACCCAGCTGCTCATCTAATTGTTTCGCAATATCATCACTCAACAACGTAACCAAATTCAACCAGGCGATCATTGCTCGACTGTAAATTAACATCACACATTCTATATTCTTTTTGTCATTTTATTAACTCGTTTTAGTGTAATTATTTTTTTTAAATACTACAATATATTTAAAAAAATAAAACATTTGATGTTATCAAATTTTAATTCATTTTTATGCTGTAAAAGCATAAACAAAATGTAATATTTTTTCGATCCATCCATGGAAGCAGGGATGAACTAATTATTGATTATTTTCGGAAAGTGAGGTCGCCATTTTAAGTCCAAATTTTTTTAATAATGGATTACACATAAAATGCAACCCAATTTTTATTTATAACTATTTCGGAGGTCTGAGCCTTGTCGTCTTTTCCGATTGAACGGTTTGATAGGAAAATATTTAACTTAGGTGGTTCAAGGTTTCATTTTCAGAAAATTTATTGAATTTGTAATTTATTCTTACAATGAAGAAGGTCTAAAAATAGGCCATTTTCTACCACACTTTTTTAAATAAAAACAATTAATTTAAAAAATATCAATGCCTGAACCACCTAAGTTGGACCTTTATCTACGGTATAATTACAGAAATAAATACAATTAACTTTTGGTCTGTAGACGCCATTCTAATGCACAAGGATACTTTGTTATTAAAGACAGCTTACTCTGCGTCTCCCACGATAAAGAAGGGCTTCATCAGATAGGAAATTATACCATATCACTGATAATATGAGCAGAATATTTTTTTCATACTTGACTGTCATGTATGGAGACGGGCCACCGTGAATTAGTATTAATGAAAATTTAATTTTGTTCACATATGGCTTCAATATTTAATATATGCATACTTTGTGAAGTAGGCTATAAAGGTAGTTTTATTACATAGGCCTATCAAACTTTTATAAATAAACTACCAAAAAAAAAAAAAATCTATAGAAAAAATAATATATTAAACTTTAAATAAATATCTAAATCTCACATAACAAAAAAACAACATAATTCTATTTATTGAGCTTTACACTGAGGCTTAGGCTTATACTTTTTCATCAAATTTTTTAGTATCTTCTGATATTCCCTGGCATTTTCTTTAACAAAAGGTGCACGCCATTCTTCATCCTCTTTGTCCTTTTTCTTCTTCATACCTGGCCAGTGTACAAGAAAGGCTCCATCCAAAATGACGAATTGATAATCCAAAAGGCACATTTCTAACATCTATAAGAAATAAAGAAGAGTAAAGCGCAGATGAAAAAGAAAGCCATAAACACCTAAGCTTTGTTGTAGCAAGAAGTTAAAGAATAAAAAGAGATATAGGCCTCTAGAGAAGCTGAAAAAGTATCGAAGAGGCACAACTACAAAGCCAAAAAGGCATTAGCTTCGTTATTATTCAAATGGGACAAATTGCATGATAACTATAATTGACTATAAATCTATGGAACAGGGACAAGTGGAGAGACGTATTAATTTCAAAAGGAACGAAAGGGCATAAGATAAAATCTCTGCTATTATTGACCCCATTCGAACAGCATTCAGTGGTAGTAATTTGCAACACATAAAGGATATAGGAACTTGGACACTAATGCTTTTTAAATGAAAAACGTGTAGTTCACTCAGGAGTGATAGTGTGGATGTAAAGATAGGACAAATATTGCTAACAATTTAAATGGGGATAAGCATTATCAAACGTAGGTACTCCTAAAGCTCATGTAGGTGCTTTTAAGTCGCTAGATAATTGCAAAATTGTTTTATTAGGTTGTGACAAAGGGGTTCGATGGAAAATCCATACTGAAAGTTGTCCGCATATTTTATTGTGCCGTACAAAATGGTTTCGGTTTGTTAAAACTAGTCATTCTTTCTTTTTTTTGTAAAGATATCGTCAATATTATTTTCCTCCATTCCATGTAGCCCGGCATTAATTTTTATTATGATAATTTGAATTGAAGTTATAAAAACATAATTTTTAAATGGAAAATTACGAACCTGTAACATTTTATCCTGTAATCCCTCCCAAGATAACTTTTCGTTATAGAAGGGTTCTTCTTTTGATCCGATATATATTGGTTCCCACCTGTGGTAAGGCACTTCTCTTCTAGCTGTGATGAAAGGCTAAAATAAAACAAAATTAAAAACCAAAAATTCAACGACCGAAGCCGTTCTCAAATGAATAAAATAGGAACAAAAATGTAGACTAATTGACATCAACCCCCCTCCATCTCCAGTTCCGATTTTTAATCAAGTAGAAGGTGGGCCAATTTAGCACAAACTCATAGATTTTTCTTCTATTCTGGGGAAATTTGTCAAATCTGGCAACATTGCAAAGAGAAGCTGAAGGAAAATCAACTAACCTAACTGTCAACCAAAAAAACGTACAATTAGCAAATCTGGCAGCAAGGCAGACAAAGGAGGCGCTATTGCCAAAACACATCGAGATGGAATGAAGTAGAGACGACATAAACACTATTTTATGGTATGACAGACATAAACGCACTTAGCGATGCCTGACTGACAAAAAAGTGTAATGAAAATGGCGACTTGAGTTGTACTTTAATTTATTTGAAGTCAGTGATTCTATATTTGAATATTAACGGAATAAAAATGTTTTTATATCATTAAGATGAAGCTATTTTATAAAAATGGCATTTATTCATATTAGAACTGACTAGCTTCACTAGCTCGAGTTTGACACATGATATAAATATAAAAGTGTAATGCAAAGGTGAGGACACTTTTATTATCGTCATCTCCTCTTTATTCTATGTCAATGCCAAAAAAGTCTAAGCTTGGGCCCTGTCATCTTTCACTTCTCATGTCATCTATGTCAATCTAAACTAACTGTTAAAATGGCATCTAACCCTAGTCTAAGGTCTAGCCTAATGTAAAACCCAGAGATGGATCTATGAAGACTAGATATGGATGGATCAAAGGTCATGCCACAATCAAAGGTAACCGTCATGTTGATTCTTTAGACAAAAAGGCATAAACCAAATACTTTTCGGACCTCTGCCTTCTATTGGACTGACAATATTAGTAGTGACAAACATAATTAAAGAACATCCCCTTGTGAACCTTGTGAAACTAAAGGGAAGATGGAATGAAATAAAAAGCTTTCTTAAATTTTATCCTTACGCAACAGCAAACAAAATACTTGATTATGACTAGACAGGTATTCTGACTAGTTATTGCCAAGTACGGAAGCATCTTCATATCTTAGGGCTATCAGAATCCGCATTCTGTAGGGGGTGGGAAGAAGTTTAAAACTTTAAGCATATCCTCTACGATTGCTCGACGCTCTCATTTAGTAGAAGATAGTCTATAACTTAACGGCGCGAAAAAATTTGACCTTTGGACTCTGATATGTTGCCAACCTAACACCAACCGATTTGTGACTCATTGTTATTGACATATTTACGAGGCGAATGAAAAAGCCAAAAAGGCCGCTTAGATTACTACAGATGTGTGAACTATATGTTCAAGACGTGTTCGCGACTGACTTTCTCAATGCAGCAAACCTTTTTGGAGCTTAAATTCTTCGACCAGTTTGGCTCTAATCAGGCAGAAATAGTCAGCTTGATTCCAATCTCTAATCCACCCTAAAGATAACTTGACCATTAGAACCATATATTATGTAATGTAAGGCACTTTCATGTATGGTATGCATCACTGGAAAGCTAGTATGAAATGCTTTTCAAGGATAAAACTTATACTCTATAATGATAGTATACAATAATTAGAAACCCATTTAAAAAGAAGATGGCATGTTTATCTAAATAAAATATTTGTTAAATATGTTAATTTAAAATTAGCAAAGTAAATTGCTTCTGTAAGGTTTTTATTTTTGAGGTATAGCTATTGTAAGTGGTAAAAATACCACTTTGTATATTACACCTTAAAATCAACCTATGACCAAACAGCTAGACGTAAAATTGTAAAATTAAGAAACTTACTTTAACAATATCTTCTGATCGGTGGGTTCTCATCCAAGACTCGATACCTGGGAACTTTTGGCAATGTGTACACACTAGCTTATGGAAATACACAGCCTTTTTTTCTTTTACTAGATCCACCAATTGTTGCTTAGTTCTAGGAACCTCTTCTGATGATTCAACCTCAAATATTGGAAGAACATACGCTCTCTTCTGGCAGTCAGTCAGTTTGTAACTATCAATCATGTCTAAGAACTTTCTAGCCAGACCTTAAAATTTAAAGGTACTTAAGTTTAATTATTTGTAGATGAATATAAAAGTAATTATAATAAATGTAGTTTACTAATATTATCAATACTTCAGTAAAATATTAAAGCCTAAAACAATGTAATCAAATGGAGGAATCCTAGCTGCCAAGTTTATTTGGTTTTAGAAGAAGAGCAAATACATTTTAAGATAATATTACTAAGGTGCTATGTATATAAAATTACTATAAAGCAACTATTGATTCTAGGGATAGATGTAAGCAGCAAATAGGGAATACTGTGGTATAAAAAAGAGGACCAATCAGCGTAGGGAGTAGAGAGGTAATATACGTAAGTTACTCCATAGTAAAATCTAGGATGTAAACTCTAGTTTTAAAATAGTGTGACCAACTTTATAAGAGGTAAGTGAGTGACAAGCCAGGAAGGTGGGATGTTGTTGTTATACACTTTCCACTTTCCGAGTACTTAAAATGCATCAGTGACACATATGCTCACATCTTGGACTAGCGGCGTTATACTAGACTAGCGTTTAAACATCTAACATGTGTGGTGAATAACTATGGCAGTAGAATCTTAAAATGGTGGCACGATAACCCTCGCAGCTTATAGAGCCGTTTTTAATTTGACCTCATGGCAAAAAATAATGGTAGTGAGTACCTGTTAACGATTATTCATAGCTGTCTGCAAAATAGGAAGATAATCCTGCAAGAAGGTCAAGAAGAGCATGAAGTAGCCCACAAGGCTCTGTGATTGGTACCTTACTAAGGAATATATTATATGGTGCTAAACTTTAATAAGTACAAGGGGGTTGATCTAAAAATAAAGGTTATAACCAAAACAGCACTGAAAATAAAACAAAAAAGCGGAGAACACAATTTAACGAATAACTTACTGGTCAAAATAAAATAAACTAGATAGAGTACTAGAAAAAATAGGAGGAAAACTGCTGAGTGGGAGAAAAAAATATGGAGATAATAGTATAATTATTGATGGATATACCGACAAATAAAATACTTATGGGTATAGCTGCACAGCGATATGACTTTCGCAAAGCCTATATACAGAACAGCTAATAAAGAGGAAAAAGCTAGGGGTAGCCCTATCAAGAAATATGTTAACAATCAGGAGTTCGAACTCTGACAACACAAGTAGCATTCACTTACTCCGTTATGTTGCACGCCTCAATGATCTGACATGAGACCATAAATGTCAAGTATTTCAGAAAGCGATATAGGATGGTCCAAAAGTCAATAACTATAAAAATAATGAGAGCATATTGGACTATATTGGCAGAGGCAATGCTGGTTATGGTTAGGATAATCTGAATTAAGCTACAGACTAAGGAAAGGTGGAGATTGTCTAAAAACAAAGACAGAAAAGAAACGTAGAGAAGAACGCTAAAGAACTATAAGAGAATGGACACAAATGTGGGAAAATAGCACAGAAAGAAAATTGACAAGGGAACTGATATCAAACCTTCAAATATAGAAAAAACGATATCGCGTAGAAACAAACTTCCATATAACTTAGGCGCTTTCGGGTATAGAATATAGAGGCCCCATGGGGCCCAAAATAACCTTAATATGAACTAGGGAGATAGAAGAACGATGTATTGCAGAAGATTTAGCAGAAATTCCTGTAAATTTGGGCTTTTAAGGTTTCCATTTGTTGCGTTATCAAGAATATTTAGTAAAATAAATCAACTATGAGACGCCCATGGTCTTCATCAGTCGAAGTAAATTAGCGATTCTAGATTATACTGGACCACAATTCCACTGAAGAAGCCAGTCGAAGGACGTCTAGTCTGTTCGAAAACAAGTCTGGAGGGACAAATAACTTTGCCATTTAACTAAAGATATGTATTTGAATAAGTATGATCAATGTAAATTAGTATATCAGAAATATAAATTAATAATATATTTAGTAAAAATATAGTGGGATGTAAAATAAATTAGTGTCTTGGTGAAAATAAATTAAACAACAAGCTGTTTAAATAAATAAACATTGCAATAATTACCTTCGCTTGGCATTAGCTGAATATCTGACACCATTACACGTTCTGTTAGGGATGCTGTTCTTGCAGCATTTCGGCAGACGTTGATCGGATAAACAATGCTATCATCAGCATGCCTAAGATATAAATTAAGAAATTATTAGACTGAAATTTAATTTTAAACTGTTTAAAAGCAGTTAGAAAAATTTATTAAAATTTATTCATATTTATATTTTTTGCGTCAAAACATTAAAAATGGTTAAAAATATTTTATTAATGTTTTTAAAATGTAATATAATATAGTAAATAATATAGCATATAATATGGTAAATAATATAGTAAATATTATAGTTAATAATATATAGTAACAAGTAATATAGTAAATAATAGGTAGTGGAAATGGAGAAAGATATTCACAAGAGAAAATAACCCCCAGTTCTTCAAAAAAATTTGAAAAATTTACAGAACTTTTAACTACAAGTCCTGGGAAAAATTCAGCAAGCAATATGGAATACCTCTCAGATTCTGGCCATCAAACGCTCTTACAAAACTTCAAAGATCAATCAATTGAAGAATAACACAATTTAATTAGCTATTTTAAAAAATTGGAATATCAAGAACCAGAAAGAGTGGAAAGATTACGAAAGTTCGTTAACTCAGAAACCGGTGATAAAACAAAGGATGATGATAATAAATTAGCAGATGAAGATGCAGAAATTGATGGAAATAATAGTAAGACTAATGTTGGTAGAGAGAACTTGTTTTCGAACAGATCTGCAGCAGTAATTCCAGATCACGACTCAGTGCACATTGATTCTGATGAATACAATGACCAAGATGAAAAGGTGAATGAAGATACATAAAAGATGATTAACAAGAAACTCCATGTAGATTCCAAAGATGAACATAGTTTTAAAGACGTCGTCTAGTCAGTCTCCATAAATTTGAATTATAAAAATAGAACATGTCAAAAAGGTTTTAGAGGACACGTGATAAATCCAAATCTGAAGATCTTATTTCTAATTTGATGTCAAACGTATCCAAAACCAATTCCAGTTTCAATAGAGTAGACTTGCTAAATTTAAGATCAAAGTCTGTAACTTCAAATCCACCAACTTATATGGCAAACGCTGACTTCACAAAACGTGATACTCGCATGTCTAATTTGGCTAGTATACTAACTAACTTTAAAAATTTGACCGTTATGTTATGTTGGGAATGGGGTGTTAATATACTGCGACTTAAAATATCTATTGTGCCCCCTTCTTTCGGTAATGCACCAAGAAAATGTCTCAATGCCTATAACGACCCTTCCAATCCTATTTCCTCAAGGAAGTGAAGGATTTAGAGTGGCTTCAAGTTAGGTTAATCTTCCTCTTCTATTTGATATCCTCTTAGATATAGTGCCCTTGGATTCTGGAGTGCTACACATTCAGTTAGGATGTGAATGGAGGTTTCGTCCTCCTACTCACAAAATCTGCACTCACTATCCCCTACTACTCTCAGTTTACTTAGGTGTGCTTTTAGTCGGCAATGCCCGATAAGTATCCCTGTTACAATACGTAGCCTGTTCTTGCTCAGGCAGATGCAGGCTTCCGATCTTTTCTGGTTATATTCACCCAGAAGTATCTCGGCCTGTCTTAGCCCCAAAAGATTGTTCCAATTATCGGTTCTTCTACTGCCCAATTCTTTTTTAATCTCTCCTAATATTATGTTACTGCTGATACCGCAAAACGGCTCAGGTCCTACAAAGGGTGTTTGAGCCCCTTTCCTTGCAAGACTATCTGCAATCTCATTACCCTGTCCCGGGACCCAAGTGAGAGTAACTCTATTTTTCTCGCCTAGTTCATTCAATTGTTCTAGGCATCTCCAGACTATTTTTGAGCTGATTACGTTAGAGCTCAGTGCTTTGATGGCTGCTTGACTATCGGACATGATGATAATCTCTTGTCTATGATAGTTTCTCTCGATGTTAAACTGGATACATTTCTCGATGGCGTGAATTTCCGCCTGGAAGATACTTGGGTATTTTCCCAAGCTTTCGGAGTGCTTGGTTCTCGGCCCATACACTCCTATTCCAGTTCCTTCTATGGTTTTGGAACCGTCCGTATACCACTGAATAGCACGTCTTTCGGTCGCAAGCGTGATGGATTCTTGGCTCCATTATTTCTTGCAGCCCAGCTCTGTGGTTTTGAAGGCTAATGTTGGTAGAGAGAACTTGTTTTGAAACAGATCTGCAGCAGTAAACCCAGATCACGACTTGGTGGACATTGATTATAATAAATATAATGAGAAAGTTAAAAATATGAATAAAGATAAAGAAAAGAAGATTAAAAAAGAACAAAGGAAAGTCCATGTTGATTCCGAAGATGAACAAAGTTTTGAAGACGTAGTCAAGTCAGTCTCCAAAAATTTGAAAGACCCTATGAAATGATAAATCCAAGCCTGAAAATAACCTAAAGTGCTTAAGATCTTATTTCTAATTTGAATGAAAAGACTAATTCTAGTTCCAATAATGTTTAGGTTCAAAGTCTGTTACTTCAAATCCACCAACTAATATGACAAACGTTGACTTCACATAACTTGGTAATGTTGGCATGTCTAATTTTGCTAGTATACTAGGTAATTTTAAAAATTCGACGATCCCAGACACTACTGAAAAGAAAATTGATTTCTATTCTACATTTTCAGTGAAAAAACGTAAACAAAATGTACTGTATACTCTATTGAAGATAAAATTGATTTCTAACATCCAATTATATGAAAAAATGTATCAAATTGAACTTTGATTTGACATCATCTAAACCTATAACACAAGAAAATATATAGAAACAAGCAATTTGAGAATTCTGATCCGAGTTCAAGAAGAAATTTTAAAGGTCCCGAATTCGATAGAACTGGATTCGGTGGTCCAGAAAGGTTTGGATCCTGGTGGATCAGATAGATTTGGTATGGAAGGAGCAGATATATTTGGTACAGTAGGCCTGATAGATATGACACATCAAGGTCAGATAAGTTGGGTACGAAAGGACAAGACAGGTTTGGTACTACAAGAGGACCAGATAGGTTTGGAATAAGTGGGTCAGACAGATTTGGTGCATGAGGGCTAGACATAAGTTCGGTTCTGGAGATACAGATATATTTGGTCTAGTAGAATCTTCTGAAGATCCAGATAAGTTTGGCCCGGTAGGATCTGCTGTAAGACCAAATAGATTTGGTTCAGTAAGATCTGAAAGGTGAGGAGGTCTAGGATATAATGATAGATTTGATAAGTTTGAAGCTCCTGATAGGAGTTTTGGTGCCCAAGATAGGGTAAACAATAGATCTGATAGATCATTTGGACAAAATGACAAAGGTTTTGAATCTGGGCCTATAGCTTAAGGACCACATAGTCCCTTAGGACAGAATGTGTCCAGTATGACAGGTTCTGGCCCTGGTTTTGGAATGGGATCAGGGTAAGGTTCCTTGGATCCTTAAGGTTTAGGTAATTTTGGAAACAGAGGGCCTTCTTTTGAAACAGATTCATTGCTAAGAGGGGGTTCACAAAGGCCAGGTCCAGATGATCAAATAAATTTTCAGAGGTTGTCACCTCTCAATTTTAATAAACCTGCTAATAATTTCGCTAGTAGGTAGTACATTTATTTAAATATGATTAATTTAAACATTGTTTTTTTTTTATTTTGTATAGATCTTAGCTGTTCATCTCTCGTACCGCTGTTACTACTATCATCATCATCCTAAGGAATAATTCTTGTTTTATACCCGTTTACTAATATTTTTTTTTTACTGTTTATAATCAACCTTTCTCCACTACAACTATTATTATGGTAGTTTTTTACCTGTATGTAGCCAATTTTGAAGAGTCAGCAACTTCGCACGATGCAGGTCTGGTAAAATATACGTCTTTTCGAGAAGGTGTCAATTTTTTGTGATATGCAAAGTGTATAGATACACGAGACATCCCTGGAAGACAATGGCAATACTGATTGAGCTGTTCCAGTACCAGTGCAACATCTAAGTCGGGTACAAACGCTGTTACACTGATAAATCCATCCCAAAATCTACAAGAGAAAAACGACATAAAAAATAATGAATTTATAAAATATAATTTACTATATTCTCTAAGTATGATTGGATAAAAAGGAAAACTTATTATAAGAGCAAAAAGCTGAAGATCTACTAATGGTAAAGTCAGTGAAAGATTATTAGCAAAAAATGTATATTAAAAATGCAAGAAAATATTTGACTTCGATGAGAAAAGGTACCAATTGTCTGTTTTTAGGCATGAATGGAATTAAAGAATCATTTGTCAAAATAAAGAATGTTTTTTTACTCTGTTTACTACTTAATATCATTCTATATAGTTATGTCCAAACCATAACATTCTATTCCTTATCCCATTTTGAGCATTGTTTTATTAATAATAATACTATTCTGGAAGTTGATAAAAACATTTTTTTAGACAAAATGATTTTCCACTTCTTTTAGATTGTATATCTTCCCAAAGACAACCAAAAGAGAAACTTTCTTGATATTAACAGACTCCAAAAAAGACGGTAACGAAGCTGTTTCTATTCGTTTAAACCGCGCAAGCCGTTATTGGGACTTCTTAAAAGTTTCATTACTTTATCGCCTATCACTAAAAAATGTACAAATGTTTTCTTACCTTACTAATTCAGGTAAATAATACATAAAATCAGCTGAGACATGCGTCGCATATGTCACTTCAGGCACTCCTTCTGCCTGTTTAGCTAACAATACATTATAAACGATCCTGTATTCACTCTGCTTTCCCAATTCAGGACCAAAATCAACATCATTCGTACCGTAAGTCAAATCTTCTGGAAACTTGTAGTTGAAAGTACAATAACTTTGATTTGCCGGTTCGGGATGGATATATTTTACAAAATCTCCTGGAGTGTATGACCTAAAATAATAGTTATGTATCTTTCAAAAGGTCTTTACAAAAACATACCACATATTCCTTAGACCAAAATAAGCCGACTTAAGTAAAATTACCTAAGTACAAAGTTGCTTCGTTTGGGCTCCAGAGGGCCTTGAAGTTACAATTTTTAAATCGATTTTCCCATATAAATTTAAAACGGCATATTCGATTTTGCTGAAATTTAGTATTTTGGTAGAGTTTTATGTGGCAAAAAAATGATATTAAAATTTTGTCCGATAATAATACATAGGCGTAGAACTTGATTTTTTAAATAATTGCACCTTTAAAAATTCTACGCCAATGGAAGAAAAGGAGTTTGAGTATGAAATTCAGATTGCGCAACTCATTTACTTTAAAAAAGGTACTCTTGATAAGACTCGATTACTCTCATGGTTTTGACGAAATTTGCATTTTAGTAATTTTAGAACATAAACAATAATTATTAAAATACAAACTTTGTCAAAACCATGAGAGTAAATCGAGTGTTATCAAGGGTACTTTTTTGTAGTAAATGAGTACCCAATCCAAATTTCATACTCAAACCCCTTTTCTGCCATTGGCGTAGAATTTTTAAAGGTGCAATTATTTAAAAAATCAAGTTCTACGCCTATGTATTATAATCGGACAAAATTTTATACGATGAAAAACATAAAAATGTACTTTTTTCATATCTTCTTCAACACCTCTAATCGAGACTTTTAACAAAAATACTCGATTCTTGCCATGTACGAATTTTTGAGGAATATTAATTATTTGCCTGCAATACGTATACAAAAACATTTATTGTTGGTTTCCATAGTTTCATCTAAATAAAAATATTGTCAAGTTTTAAGACCTAATCTCTTGTTAACGATTGAAAGTGTTCTATCTGACTCAATAATTAAAAAAATAAATGCGTGGTTTATTAATATGGCTGTACAATATACTAATGCAGAATATACCGATATGTTACTGACATTAGGATTTTGTGAAGGTAATGCTCGAGAGAGTGTCAGGGTGTACTCTGAAAAGTTTCCAAATCGTCGTGTACCTAGCCACCCAACTTTTGCTGCTGTTGAGAGACGTCTTCGGGAGACCGGTTCCTTTGCTCCCAACACTGTTGATAATGGAAGAAAACGTTTTGTAAGGATTCCTGAAGTTGAAGAAGACATTTTAGAACGTGTTGAAGAAGATCCAGAATTAAGCACCAGACGAATTGGAAGGGAACTAGGAATAAGTAAAAATGTCGTTCATAAAGTGCTTAGAGAACAATTGCTATATCCATACCATAAGAAGCCAGTACAAGAATTTTTAGTCCATGATCCTCAAATTCGTTAGGGTTTTTGTCGATTTGTTAATATGCAAAGAGAAAGAAATCCAAACTTTGTCAAGAAGGTTCTCTTTACCGATGAAGCGGGTTTTACAAGAAGAGGTATAACTAATACCAATAATGAACATGTTTATGCCGTTGAAAATCCGCATGCAATAAAGGTAAACCATTTTCAGCACGAATTCAAAATTAATGTGTGGGCTGGAATAATTGGTAATTTCATTGTTGGTCCTGTCATACTTCCACGAAGATTAACTGAAGAAAATTATTTGGATTTTCTACAAAATACGAGTACGTTGCCAGAATTGTTAGAAGATTTACCTCTCCAACTTCGGAGAGATATGTGGTTTATGCAAGATGGAGCTCCACCACATTTTTCTTTAAACGTTAGAAACCACTTGAATGAACAATATCCACACAAATGGATGGGCAGAGGTAATGACGCACCTGTAAACTGGCCACCACGTTCCCCAGACCTAACACGGTAGGATTACTTTTTATGGGGACATCTGAAATCCACAGTTTACAGGGAACCTGTAGAAAATGAGGAACACCTCTGGCAACGTATTCAAGATGCAATAAACAATCTTAGAGGTGATGAAGAAGTTATGGAATGGATACATTTTAATTTTCTTCGACGTATAAATCTTTGTATGCGTGAAAATGGTGAACATTTTGAACAATTTTTGTAAAATCTCTATTTTGATTATGTTGTAAATAAATATTTTTGTGAAACATATACACTCTAAATTATTAAAACAGAAATTTAGCAAAAACCATGAGAGTAATCGAGTCTTATCAGGAGTACATTTTTTAAAGTAAATGAGTTGCGCAATCTAAATTTCATACTCAAACTCCTTTTCTTCCATTGGAGTAGAATTTTTAAAGGTGCAATTATTTAAAAAATCAAGTTCTACGCCTATGTATTATTATCGGACAAAATTTTAATACCATTTTTTTTGCCACATAAAACTCCACCAATATACCAAATTTCAGCAAAATCGCATATGCCGTTTTAAATTTATATGGGAAAAACGATTTAAAAATTGTAACTTCAAGGCCCTCTGGAGCCCAAACGAAGCAACTTTGTACTAAGGTAATTTTACTTAAATCGACTTCATTTGGTCTAAAGAATATGTGGTATGTTTTTGTAAAGACCTTTTACAGACACCCTGTATATACTGCTATCTTAATAGCAATTAGGACGATTCCTAAATTGAAATAGATTAATCGTTTATTAATTTTTTGTAGCTGATTATAAATATTTATTGTTTGGGAAAGAAACGTTATTTTATTATTTTAATAGGGGTCCCAAAACCATGCCAACAAACTTTTTTTGTTCACTCTTTGTTACTATTTGTTTATTCAAAATGTGTGTCGAAAATGGACGATAATTTCTCATTACAAGGATCTACTGATCTGCCGTGTTAAGTATAAGAGTCGTATCTGCATGTTTGGCAGATTTTGAGATTTTCGGTTACATCACATCTGTTCAAGGTTATATTAGTTCAAAATGTAGTATAACTTTTATCACCGATCAAAAATCATATAACTTCTTTGCCGTATGTGAAATTATCATCAGTTTGTTAAGCATTTTTATCCAAACTGCATATTTTTAAGAGTATATGTCGTATTTGCAATTTAAATACGACATATTTATACGATGTATTTACTTGTATTTTGACGCTTAGACTTTGTACATAACCTCAAAATAGTACATTATATACCTAGGGTGAGAAGTGAGCTATTATTTACCGAGCACTTTTATATCCTGAGGCGCGTAGCGCCGAAGGATATAATGTGCGAGGTAAATAATAGCTTTCTCAGCCGAGGTATATATAGAATTTTTTTTACTACTAACATTAATGTATTAGCAATTTTAATTTTGACATAAGTAATTTCCTAACAATTTGTTAAATATTTCGAAATATCAAGCAGACTGGAGCGTGTTTCTAATCAGACTGGCTTTATTTATGTAAAAATTTGGCATGTGTCAAATTTTGGTATGATTCTAGGAAATATCCCATTGCATTTTTGATATTTTAATGACATGGATTTATTGGTATTAATTAATAATTTTTAAAGCCGGTGTTGAATTTCCTAGTTAATATATATTTTTACTGTTTACACTGATATATATTATCATATTTGATTTGATTAGATTTGATAAACCCAGCTTTAGTTATTTCCTACTTATTTTTCAAATATTTCAAAATATCAAGTAGTCTGGGAGTTTAGTTGTCAAATTAACAAAATGAAACTAATGAAATTTAGTTTCATTATTTACCTAGGTTTTTTTTTATTATCATTATTTACCTAGGGTGAGAAATATTACTTCTCATTAGAGGAATGGAGTAAATAATGGTGCTTTCTCATGTTAGGAGTAAAAAAAAGTATTTATTTACCTCTGTTCAGATAGTTTTGTATGTTTCTTTACAAAATAAGTGAACTGTGACCTTAAACTTATTGTTGAAGTGATACCTACTTTATAGGACTTAAAAAGAAAGTAAGTTAGTTGTCATTCTACATTTGATCACATCAACACATCAGTGTGTAGCCGGGTGAAGCCTTTTATTAACATAGAGCCTATTCTTAGGATAATGGATGGTAATAATAACAGATCTATGCGATTGTTGCAAGCAGTAGGAAGGAAAAACAAGGAGCTGTCCACTAAATTAGACGAATTAAAAAAAATGCTCAAACACGTTTAACGAAAAATTATAAACAAGATTTTGAGATCCCAACATCGTCTGACACATCAAGTTCAGAAGCAGTAGAAGAAGAAGTGGAACCTGATCTTCCTTCGATTATTAACCATCAAAATGTTGTAATTCCTCGCAAAATGCTGTAAGTTCAGATTCAAACAATAACAATAATAATGTTATAGCTTTGGTTACCAAAATTGTCGATATTGATGCTGTAATTGAGCAATCCAAAAACCGAGAAACCAGTTTATATACAAAAACAGGACAGCTCCGAAAACGCAGAAGATTCAGTACGTCTTTACAAAGCAGAAAAAACAAAAAGTCGAAGATAAGAAAAATAAACATTTATTGAAAGATCCATGTGAAGACAAGTACAAAAAATGCTGTACCAAAAAAACTTCAGAACAACTTGCAAATATAAATTTGAATTTTTGGCAATTAACGAATATAAAGCAAAAAAATTTTTGTGTTTAATATAACAGAAAGGAAAAATGCAAAATATTTTTCTTGACAACTCTTGGATATTTGCCTAACAATGATCGAATTATTCGAAGTGCATTCTCTTCCGCTACTAAACAGTTAAAGGCAGAAAAATCTCGACGAGGTAGCGCTAGTTCATCGATAAAGATAGATCGTGCCATAATCAGACAGCATATAAAGTCTTTTAAACTGTCAATTTCTCATTACAGAAGGGAGTATGTTCCTAATAGGAGATACCTTCCTAGTGATGTTACCATAGTAATGATGTACAATGACTTTAAGGCAAAACATCCAACTATTAATAATTTTTCCTAATATTTATATAGAGATGTTAGTAAAATGAATATTTTATTCGCTGCACTTGGACACGAAGAGTGCTTCACTTATGCAGCATTCAAAAATCATGAAAGCAGCACCAATCACGACTCCAAGAATTTGGAAAATGACTGCGCCGACTACAAATCATGGAATAAACATATTGGAATGAT